TAACTTGGGGACATCAAATATCTGAAGTTAAGATTTAAAATGGTATTAAATGTAATTTCTTTGCTTGAAGATTTCTTTAGGAGAAGAGACCACTTGCAACAAGGATTTGTGAATTTCGTGTATGATGACGTGAGTATCCTGCTTAAGACTTGCTATTTCTACTGTGACCTAGATGTGTTCTTAGTTATCAAAAATTAAAATGAAGTAATCCAAGATACCAACACTGGAAATAATGTATTTTATATGCATATGATTTTTTTTGTATTTTTCAGTTGAATGCAAATAGAAGATTCAATATTGATACAAATAACAATTTGACTTAATATTAAATGTAAATGTGCCTTTAAGTTTTATGATAGGCCATTATAAGTTCATTTTCCAAATAACTTTTAAGAGCAAGAAATATCATTGTTTTTATAAAAAATAGTTTACTTATGGTGATCTTTTTTTCTAAGAGAGATAAGACATTTTAATATGTGACAATGTTAATTTCTCATCTATGTTATTTATTTATTGATGGGTGATATAGATTCAATAGTATATTACTATTACATAGTGGTTTAAATTATAACTTGGATACACTCTGAGTTTTATTTGTTATGAAAAAAACTTTTATGGGGTACACCTAACCAAAACTAAATAAAAGTCATTTACTTGTTGCCAGATGATAATTTTGCTATGTTTCAGTTTTTGCAGGGCACTATGGCAATCTGAATATCTAGAATTTGAAAGTCAAAGAAATGCTGACTTCTTTTGCTTTGAAGAAAAGAACTAGACTACTTTAAATGAAACTTTTAGGGTTTTTGGGGTTCCTATTGTTAAATGTCTTCCTTTACTATCTATTTTTACTTTAGCATATGGTTCAAAGTAATAAAGAATTGGGGGGGAGGGTTTACTTGGCTCACTTGGTTAATCTAACTCTGCCTACGGTGCCGGCATCCCTTATGGGCGCCGGTTCTAGTCCCGGCTGCTCCTCTTCCAGTCCAGCTCTCTGCAGTGGTCCTGGAATGCAGTGGAGGATGGGCCAAGTGCTTGGGCCCTGCCCCGGCATGGGAGACCAGGAGGAAGCACCTGGCTCCTGGCTTCCCATCTGCGCAGTTCCGGCCTTAGCGGCCATTTGGGGGATGAACCAATGGAAGAAAGACTTTTCTCTTTGTCTCTCTCTCTCTCTCACTGTCTATAACTCTACCTGTCAAAAAAATAAAGAACAGGCCAGCACTGCGGCTCAATAGGCTAATCCTTCACCTGCGGCGCCGGCACACTGGGTTCTAGTCCCAGTTGGGGCGCCAGATTCTGTCCTGGTTGCTCCTCTTCCAATCCAGCTCTCTCCTGTGGCCCGGGAGTGCAGTGGAGGATGGCCCAAGTGCTTGGGCCCTGCACCCACATTGGAGACCAGGAGAAGCACCTGGCTCCTGGCTCCGGATCCGCGCGGTGCGCAGGCTGCAGCGTGCTGGCTGCGGTGGCCATTGGAGGGTGAACCAACGGAAAAGGAAGACCTTTCTCTCTGTCTCTCTCTCACTGTCCACTCTGCCTGTAAAAAATAAATTAAAAAAAAAAAAAGAATTGTTTTAAATTTGGGATATTATTACTTTTGGAAATGTAACACTTTGATAATCTGCATAGTGTTATAAAATATTGGTATTTGCTAATAAAATATTTCTTAGTCTTAATTTTAAACAAAAGACCTAGAAAAATATACTTAAAAGATATATTATAAACTGCCAAATAATGAAAGCTTAGATAAGACTAATTTATACTTATATGAAGGTAACAGATTATACTTTTAAATTTTGTTTGTAGTCCTTGGTGTTTGAGGGTCAGCTAGAAAGTAATGCCTGGATTTTATGCCATCTTTATAATAGGCTTTGTTCCTTGGTGACTTAATAAGACAACAGAACCTTACGTGTATTTGCCTTGAAGAAGAAAATTATAGTTTCTGAAAGTTTATCTTACTGTATAACGAATTGTAACAACAAAGACATTGTTTTTCCTTTTTATTTTTTGCAATATATATTTTAATATGTTTTATTTCTGTGAAAACAAACTGAAACATTGCTTTTCTCTTTGCAGTCTATTTCGTTAGTGAAGACATAGATAACAAAATGGCATCTTCTCTAGATTTGTTTTCTTTTTGGAAATGACATATTTTAATGAAATGTCAATATTTAAATTTGTTATCTTAAACCAGATTGCTGTTTCAATGTAATGTTAACTGTTTTATAAAGTTAAAAAATTAAATAATTGACCTTTACTTAAATGATCAGTTTGAATTATTTAGCAATATTAGCTAATGGCTTTGTCACTAGTAAACGAAGTAGTATTTTGAGCACATCTGTGTAATGTGGGTTACTGATGATGGTGGGCACTGCTACTATTTTTCTGAGGGGTATCACCATAGAAATTACAAAGTTCAGTTACCAGGTCCTTAGCATTTAAGAGCCCTGATACTAGCTGTGGTAATGAACTTCGTTTCTTTCCTTAGCACAAACACTCAGAATTTTCCAAACTTTTTGACAAAAAACTTCCATTCCACCCTCCCCGAGTTGAGCTTGTCAGGCATTTCTTAAACACTTTCATTGAATAGACATTCTTCTAAAAACATTAGGTATAGACAGTATTTCACCAGAATTTTAAAACAAAATGCAATTTACTTTTTTGATACTTTAAAAATAATTGATGTAATTGAACATCCATTTTTACAGATTAAATAGTTTTATGAGTAACACTTCAGTGTGACTATAGTGTGGTGGTTTGTACTGCTCACCCAATGCTCCAGATCTCTTAGGATGATATAAATTAATGAATAATGTACACTCATAATGTATAAGTGCTTTTATTTATACAGTAAACATGTTTCCATGTATTTTTGAGAATTTTTTAATAAACATTCAAATAGCTTGCTGTAAAGTTTTGTATCAAACAAAATCTGTTACATATGATGAGATGCTTCAGTTCAAATAACAGTGCAGTAATTCACCTATATCTAAAAGACTGCCAAATGATTAAATGTCAGGTATTGCACTTCTATTTTGAGTGGTAATTTACACATTTGAAATTACATCAAGGGGAAATCAATACTACAAGAATCATTATTTGGTCCACTTTAAATTAAATTTGAAAAACTGTGCTCATTTGATCTATTTAAGCATGCATCCAGGAAAAATAATAACAGAAAATGTGGTCAGGTTAGATGTTTATTCCCAGAAAAGGCATGTATCCTAGGAGAAAGTAGAACTTACTAATGTAAAGTCTATGCAGTTGAAAAATAACAAAAATCAATTATAATTATTTCTTTAAAATATACAAATTAAGTTTAGTTGTAATCTTATGGCATTATTAAGCTACACAAGTAAAATAAATACTATTTATCATAAATGTGCTTCTCTTTGTCCTTTCATGTTTGACAAACTCATAAATGTTCTGTTGTCTCCTATATCTTTATAACAATTTTCTGGAATATTAATAGGAATAAATTGTTGAAATCTGTTAAATTGAATCTATTGGAGGAAATCCAAGCTTATGTCTTTCCTTAAAATTTAAAGTGCAACCACAGGTGTTTTATTATTTTGATATTTGGATTAAAATATCCAAACTTTTGGATTTAATTCAGTTACATAGTGAATTAATCACTTTCCAATAAATGTACAATGAGTTTATGCATAATATGAGATGATTTAAATTAAAAATATTTGGAACTTCTGTTTATGGCGATGAGTGAAGACAAAATTTTAAATGAATGTTGTCCAAATGACTCATCTTCTTTAATAAATTCATAATGTTACAGAAGTCATATATTAAATTAAATCTTATGTGTAATTGAAATATTGAGCACAAAAGTAGTTTCCAACAAATCAGTGGAAAACTTATGAAATGTTTCTCTTTGACTATCAGCTTATTGTTTGAATGCTGCGAAATATGTGCTTTTAATTGTTTCCTGCTGTCTTTTCTACTTGCTTTTAAAAATACATTTTTCTTTTGTACACAGAAAAGAACCTTATATAATTAACATTCCTTTTATCCAAGTAGCTTGGTAATAGGCAGCTTTGTGTATTATTTTGCAAGCATTCAAAACTCAGGTGTGCTTCTATACATCTGAATATGTAGTAAGTAGACATTAGCAACACTTCTACATCACTGTCACTATGATGTGTTATACAGTTAGAGAATGAATAGGGTTTTCGCTTGTGTACTAGTTATATTTTCAGATGTGCTGCTTCTGAAACATGAGATGGTGACAATTTGGAGAGCTTACAGGGTATAGGAAGAATTGGCCTAGATAATTATTTAATAGCCATGTTTAGAGATACATATGCCGGTAATGTTAGTTTCCAATTCTGATACATTGTTGGGGGGGGGGATTCCAGCCTTTCCTTTAAGCATAAAAATATAAATATGTACAGAATCATGCATATAGTTGTTTTCAGTTTGACTGTATTATTTAATCACACTTTATTTTGCTATGATTACTAAAATTTCAAAGGATAACCTGAACAGTGCTGGTCTGAATATTCTAAAGACATACTAATTAAAGATCCAATTTTTTTGAAAATTATAGGTCATTGGAAAATGATATTAGGATTTACCGAACTTAGAGGCATGTTTAATTTCCCAAGCTATCTAAATGTAATATCTTCAAATTTATCTTATTGCAAGGGATAATGACTTTGTATGGCAACTTTAAAAATATTTGATCTTTTCATACTTTGAGTCTCATATTCTGATCAGTCACAATTACAGATACCCTGAAATGTTTTCGCCTATGTTTATATTTTTTTTGCATTTCATTTGCCATGTGAAATATCCTCTTGCTTCATTAAATCTTAAAAATTAAGGATAAGGAATACAAGTCACTAAATAGAATAAACTTCCCTTAGCTTAGTACATACCACTTTATGACCAACAACTTTTATTTAAAACTTTTCTTTGGAGGTTGGTTTTTTAACCTTAACTAATAGAGAAGCAACTAGGGGAGGAAATAATAAAATGTGAAACAGGCAAAATAACATTATCTGGATATTTTCATTTCTTTTTAGGAAAACTGAATCAAGTTTACATAAAAATTCCTTGAAATATAAGTCAAAGCCTGTTCATTTTTAGACATTTTAGGTAATGAATAAATGTTTCAGCTAATTACTATTGTGGTCTTGATAGGCAATGATAAGTGAAATATTTTTGTTCCTTTAATTTTAGATTTAATGCTTTTTACCACTCAGTCCATCTTACTAGTGTTCTTATGGAACTCAAAAAAGAGTAGCACTGTTACAGTTATGTGATTTCATGAAATACATCAGCACCACCATGCCTTTATCTAGTACTAGACCTAGTAAAATGTTGGAAATAGTTGGCTTCTCTAGTAAAAGTAGCCTATCTAACTAATGAGATTTACTTTCTTTTTCCCCAAAATAATTTCTTTTACAAATTGTTGAGTTTTTCATGTATAAATAGATCAGAAATTATATGCTTCACTCTTAAATTATGTATATATACTATATTTTCAATACAACTTGTACACTTCATTTAGCTACCAAAAATTTGCAACCATTTTTACATGAAATTTACATTTTTGTTATTTACAGTTATTTGTAGGTTATTGCAAAACTAGTTGTGCATGTAGATTACACTGTCAATGCAACATACCAATCTTTGAAGAAAATATTTGCTAAAAATAAATATTTCTGCACAGAATATTTCAAAAGCATCATGATTTCATGCTACATTATGTGCATAAAGACTAGGAAGTAGTATGTTTTGGTAGATTGTTTCACTTAGTTTAAAGCATTCCAAGATACTACTCAACAAGATGCGGGTGAGCTTTTTTATACCAAGTAACTGAAATTTTCAAGTGATTACACACATTCTTTTTTGGAATATATTATTCTTTAACTGATAGACATTCTAATACAATGCATTTTTCCATTAAAATAAAATGCAAATTTCTGCTAAAAATAGGTAATGTACCTTTAATTGAGATCAGCAGATTCCTAGGAGATAACTATGAACTTCTCAGTCTTTTATTTCTTTAACATTTGGAAGAAGGATGCTACATCATGTCTGTTCTATTGTAATTTTAGGGGCATTCAGGATGTATGTGGAAGAGGTTATTAGATTGCTGATCTTTGAATTTTATTCCTAAATAAGGGTAAAAATAGTGTGAAATTTTGCTGTGTACTCAAACATTTGTATGTGAGTAATGCAAAAAAAAATATTGTTTAGATGATAATGTTGTCATTCTTTCACATTTAAAAACAACACTAATAACTGTTTGAGGAGACAGATATGTTTACCCTGATTGACATTATGCATCTTATACATGTGTAGAAACATCGTTTGGTGCCTCATAAATAAGTTCAACTTTTATGTGCCAGTTAAAAATGAAAAAATAAAAAGAACTAAAATGCACACAGAGGAAGTACAAAGGGTATTATAGATTAAACCCAGAGTGCTTGAAAACCACAGATGTACCAAATCGCTTCATGTTTTTTAAATGTAAATTAACTTATGGAAGTCATAGATGTCATACTATAATTTAGGAGCTCATCAAATTTTTGACATTAACTTTTTAAGAACAGGCATGTTAATATCGCCTTCTCATAATAATATTGGGAGTGCTTTTGTAATAAATTTGATATTATCATTTAAAGTTGGATTATGATTGGCAGAACAATAAAATTGGTCAGTTGATTAAGTGGTTCTTTGTTCTTAACATATTTCTATAGATGTTTTATTCTTCTATTTGTAATAATAATATGTTAATTTCAAATAACTTCTTGTTAGTCATCTCTCAAAACCTCCATTTAAAAAGTGTCTACATATAAGCCAATGATAATTTCTTGCAGTTAATTATTAATAATTGATGCCTTTCTGTGAATTTTCTGTATTGGACATTAAAGTAAGGTGTACATGTGACACAAGGATATGAGATGAATTATTTTAAACTTGGGCACTGATAGATCACAGTATCTAATACTTTATAAAGCATTTAAAGCACTTGTAGTTTTCAAAACATTAATATCACTTCATTATAAGATAGGTAGAACCACAAAAACGTATCTTTAAATGAGAGCACTTGAGAAGTGAGAGGAGAGGGAAACTACTGCATACCTAGAAAACAATTGCAATACAAATATATAATTTTCTGGATAAAGGTAGTATTTGACAGATAAAGAAATGATGTAGCAGAGAAAGCACGCCCAACACTGATGGCCTACAGGTCTGAGCAACTAGCTCTTTGGGAACTGTGTGAAAATCACTTTAAAGACTTGTTGAAGTGTAAACGTGGTGAGTTTGGTTTAGAGGAAAGTGCAATGGGAATTTTTTATAAGATGTTTAGTGGTGCTACTATATTACCACCATATGTCCACTGTCATACTGATGCTAAAGTCACATGATGATCTCACAATTTATACTATGGTTTACAAAAACACTTCCATAAATATATCAGGGATTCCTCAACACACCTCTTCACGGTAAATGAGATGTTTCCTCCATTTTTGCAGTTTTGGGTTCCAGGGCTCACAGAAGGTTTGTGCAAGAGTAAGTGGGGAAGATAGTATTTGAATGCAGGTTTTCCCCATGGAGGCCCTTGCCATTTCCAACATTCCACACGGAGCTTAGGCCATCTAGGACCTGTGTGATTTATCTGTGCAATGAGAGAGTGGGGCTTGGTGCCTGACAAGAACCATTACAACCTTAAAGTTCAATTTGTTGTAAAAATAGTGTACTTATCTTTGAAATTGTACTTTTAAAATGTTTTTCAACTATCCATCTGGGGCTCATGATGTCATGGATATAAGGAGGAACTTCCTCAGTGAACCAGCCTTTATAGAATACATGCTAATAGTACTGAATTTGTCAGATCATCTTTGCATATGTGGCATTAACATTGATTCAGAGTAGAAGTTTGTAAGGATGAGAGTCATATCCTCACTATTATTATTATTGTAAATAGTAAATATCTCTTTAAGGCTGTGTACCTGGAAGTGCATAATACAATTAGTAGAGCTAAAACAATAGTTACAATTAGGTCTTTTGGAATCAAAAATTTCAATTCTGGTAACAATTATTTAGTTGGAGACATAGCACACTGTACAAAAACTAAATTGTGGAAAATTAGTTTCCTGATTGTTTTTAATGTCATCTCCTGAATGGGAAACAATTAGCATTTTTTGAGCACCTATTATGTGCGAGGCACTTTACTATAATTTATTTCTTCCTCAAGCATCTATGTGGCAGGAACCATTATCTGAGTTTTACAGACTCCAGGAAATGACTCAGGGAGGTTAATTCACCACATGGTTATTAGTGAAAGAATTCATGTTGGGATGAAGTTAGTCTGACTACAGAGTCTATGCTTGTTTTTTCAAACTGATGATTCTCAGGCTTTTAACAAGTATAAAGATCACCTGGAGCAGGGCTTGTTAAAAGATGATCACTGGGTTCCATCCCCAAAGTTTCTGAAGTAGTAGATGTGAGGTAGAACCCAATAATAAGCATTTCTAAGTTCCCAGGCATTACTAACACTCTTAGTGTGAAAACTACACTTTGAGGATCACTGTTCTTCATTATCTTGTCTTCCAAGTGCCTCTTTCAACTCACATGGTAGAGATATTTATTTTACTTCAAAATTTGATTAGAAACTTAGTAACATTTGAATTTTTGATAATTTATGAAGATTTTGATTTGTAGTAAGAAATTTACTTATATACATTGATCCTATATTTTGATTTTCACCATGAACAAGTAATATTTAGACTATTAATTTATAAATTACTCAATATTATAAGTCATTTCTAACAGTGAATCCATCTACTGAATTTCATTAATTTAATCGTGGAAAATACTTATGGGGTTGATACTGTTTTTAATTATTTTAGATATCCTAATGGGGTGATACATTTTATCCTTTGTATTATATATGATGGGATTTTTAGAATCACATTTGGATATTTTTTTTCTTCTAGGCATTTTGGAACCATTGCTAAAGGTCAGCCTACAAAAGTACCTTGTATGCAACTCTTAATCATACATATTAAAGCTGACCAAATGCCACTGTATTTTGGCTTACTTTTCATGTTTCCTAACTAGAACAATAAGGACATTCAGCTCTTATGACCAACCCTTTACAATAGACTTAAAAAATTGGATTGCTTCAAACCTGCCTGCTGCCTTCCCATGTTTGCTGAATTAGTTATTTAATTTAAAAATCCTGCAAGGACACTGCTTCAGTGTTTTTCATTCCTGGTTTCCTCATCAACTAATTAAAGTATGATGCTACCCTATGGAATAAAATGATAGATTTAAGTTCTAGCTTTCTGCTCAGCAACTAATAACAGCAGGAAATCATCTAATCTAAAAGATAATCAATTTTAGATAGTATTTTATTTAGCCTGGGGATAACACTAGTTTCATGCAGAAAGCAAAAGGTGTTAATGTTTAGTGATGCTATTTATCTAGAAGGAAAGCATTGTCTATACTGTTATTACAATTGGCTGTTGCAGTTAGACATGGTCTTCAGTAGGATCCCAAAATTGAGGTGTCAAACTGTATGCTACAGCCAATAGGGAGGTTGATGGTCCTTTGAGGCATTAAATCTTTCTTTGGATGGGGCAAAAAGATTAATTTTGTGCATCAAGATTGTTTCTTTCATCTCTTAAGTGAGTTTAACTGTTGAGTCTTCTGACATTTATGCCTTGCTAACCACCTATTTATATTGTTCAGGGTCTCTTTAAGCCAAAACCCTGTAGGAAATGACTTTTTTAATCCTCTCCAAGGTTCTGAGACTTAGAATTTTTAATATCAAGCAATTATGTCAAGGCATTAAGAAGAAACTAAATTTGTGTTAAACCTTCGATTTTAAAAACTGGATGCCTATATACCATCCCTTACCTTCTCATTGCTTCATGCTCAGCTTTTTTTATAGAAGTGTAACTATAAGCTTAGTGTGGAAGGCTATAACTTTATGTGTGTCACAAAAATTGTTAGAACTGAAGCAGTCACAAATCAATGAGATCTCAATTCCTCACCTGCCAAATATCTCTGCCTACAAATATAGTCTTTGGTGGATTTTCTCTGAATGAGGAGCTTAGACAGACAATAATTTTGAAATTTGTTGTAGCTACAAAAAGGTGCCCCAATACAGAAAAAAAAATCCTTTAATCATCTTCTGAATTAGCCACTTATGTAACTCTCCCCTGGTAGGCACCCATTATATATGTGTTGAATAAAAGAATAAAAACATCAGTCATTAAAGTTGTGCCTACAAAACACCAAATGGTTTGAGAAACTGGTCATGACTATTAAACTTCATTGGACTGGCCAGCCATTTTGTCATACTTGATCACTTATGGTTTTCAAAATTAAGCAGAGATAGGATCATATTCATGCCTACAGATTGGCTGCCACATGAATTATCAATTTGTGTGACCATTTATAAATATATAGGGAGCAATTTATGGTCATTTAAATCACATTTTCAGTAGTGCAAAAATTTTTGCAAACTTATGTTTGCATTTGAAGCAAATTAACAGATTAGTGTGAAAGGGAAGGAAAAGTCAAGTTGACAGATTATGTTTTCCTAAAGGGACAGAAATTAATGATGAGCACAGATATAATGTTTCTTTAAAACTATATGTCAATGTGAGAGTAGTTAATGATGCAGAAACTTTGAACAATTCAAAATTTTTCATCAAAAAGTAAAGAATTATTATAGTTCAAACCATAATAATTTTTAAATTGTACTTAAACTGAAAGTACAAATTTTTGACTAGAAACTTGACTGATCAGAATCTTAACTTGTAATTTTTCCTTTACTTTGAATTTATGAGATACCTATATCCTCCATCTAATAATTGAAGATATTAAAATAAATTCCATTGTATGTTCTGATATTTTTGGTTCAATATACATCCAATTCATATTTTATAGATTTGTACTTAACCTTTGATTAGCAAAAGTGTTTGAACTACCAAACAAAACTGAAATTTCACTGTGGTGTGTGCATTTCCTTTCTAGGCAATGTAAATGAATTATTTTTCCACAACTGGCATTCAAAACCAACTGAACAGTATTTACTTAGTGGAAATTAGTTTTGCCATTCAAATCACCTGAAGTGGCACATTCTTTGAAAAGTGTGTGTCCACCATTTTGATCAAGTTCAGGATTGCTCTAAACTATGAACCAGAAGAAAGCTGTTGGTATCAATTTGTACCAGCCACACTTTAGCAGTTCTTAAGGAGACTTCCCTTCCAAAAAAAAAAAAAGTACAATTAGAGAAACTTGCTTTGTTTTTAAGCCTTGAAGAGAGTGTGTGAGTGAAAATATTGTAGACTGTGATACAATTATTGGTATGATTTTTAAATAGAATGACTTTCATTCTCATTAATGTTGGTTTGCATTCATGCTTAGAAAAAGTATTTCTCCCTAAATAATGAGAGGTCTTCAAAACATCCATGGAAAATTCACATTATCTTTTAAACTTGCTGAAGCTCCCAACTATGAAAGATTGTTGAGCTAAGAATAATCGAGACAGAAGAGAACTCCCTACCTTCTCTCTCTGGTTGTTTGAAAGTCATCTAGAGATTCACAAAGACAAAAGGTCTTTCTAGCCTCCTTCCTCCAGTTTCTCTCTTAGGACAGTACATAAATTCTCTTTTACAATTCTTGCGTATCAGTTCTCAGAATGTACACTCTGAGAGACATTGGAAGAAAACTTTACTCCTTGCAACAGATTTCTCACCCTAGGAAGCCTATGACTGCTTTCAATTTTATTCTGTCACTTGTCTAAAATGCATTGTATTTTATTGAAGATCTTATAAGTCAGGATACTAAGACCCTGCCTTGAGTTACTTTTGAACTGAGATTTCTCCCACATGACGTGTACTACATGAGTTAATAAAATTGCTAGTTATTCTCTTATTAATCTGTCTTTTGCTGCAGAGGTCTACGAATTTATGATGGTTGAGTAAAATTTGTGTTTTCTCCCCTTCAGTTTTTTTGCAGATGGCCTCCTTTACTGAGCAAGATTTACAACTCTCAAACATTGTACTTTTTAATTGTAATGTGGATGAATGAATGTAAATAACCATAAACATCTCAATAGAGGAGGATATCTATTTTCAGAAGTGACTACATTCCTTTTATCCCCCCTGAAGCTTCCATGAGTGGAAGATCATTGAGTAGCCTCCAGGAACAGTTTTATCCCTTGGTTTCTCATTTGCTTGGAAGGCATTTTCATAACAAAGTACTGGTTTAGTAAAAGCAATAAATAGGAGTCTCCATGCAAGAGAAATTGGAGTTTCCTAACATGCACATGATTTAAAAAATAAAAATAAAAAATAAGGTGCCTTGAGGTTCTGGCAGTTTTAACATTTGGAACCAAAAGTTCTTATATATATTTACATACTAACTGCTCAGTGTTACCATACAAGCTTCAATTTAGGAAAATATACAGTACTTTTGCATATAATGGTACCTTGTGAGCCCCTGAGTCAAGTAGAGAGGATTTAAATACAAAAAGGAAAACAGCCATTAAAAGCACTTACATTGTATGTGGAGTTAATAGTACAAAATGATTATTTCCCCGGAAGACCCGGATCAGAAACATGCCTATGAAGACCCAAGATTCCTACAGTGCTTAGGGATGAATCTGGTAAAGATGGATGCCTAACAGGATGAAGGAAAGTTTTTCTTTGCCGCAGGTGCAGCTCTAGAGAGAGGTCACCATCTTGTTTTAAACGTGAAGTCAAGTTGTCTTCTGAAGCTGTGTTCAGATGCATGCCTCTTGAGAGGGATTCTTTGGATTTAAGTTTAGATTTTTCAAGGTCTAGAAATTCAGGACACTGAAAGAAAGAAAACACGTTTTTATAATTCACACTGACAGTCATCTAGAATTACAGTCGTAAAATCTAAGTGTCTTTTCTTTCCTTATTAATTGTATCTGGTTTAGTGGCATCAGCCATCATTTCCCCCCTAAAACAGATCAAGCCATTGGAGGTCTGGCTGTCAATTTAGAAAATACTATATAATCATTCCAGGAACTTTAATTTTACCCTGAAGCCAGATCAAAATTATTTGGGTGTATATGTGGGAGAGAGAGAGATGAAGAGGGATAGGGAGAAATTTCCCATCTACTGATTCGCTCGCTAAATGCTTGCCACAACTAGGGCCAAGTTGGGTTTTCTATCTCCCATGTAGGTGACAGTGAACAGATTAGTTGAGCAATCAATTGCTGGCCCCCAGGATGGGGCGGTACATTAGCAGGAATGTGGGTCTGGAACTGGAACTCAGCCACTACAATATGGCTTTGAGTGTCCCAAACAGTGTCTTAGCCACTAGCCAAATACCCACTCCAAAGATCAGATTTTGAAAAATATGATTTCACTTTAAGTTTTCCCAATGAGATTTAATTCAAAGTCTAAGACAAAAAGTTATGGCAAATGTGGTCAATTGTAGGTATGAGTAGGAAACAAGAAAAAAAGAAGTGAAATAATCACCCATCAGTGTCAGATAATATTACCTAAACCTACTTGTGGGGAGCAACCCAGACTAGACTAAGTTACTGGAATTAAGACTTATTCTATGCATCTGCTCTCCCACAATATGGCGCTGAGAAGGGAAACAGCTTCTACGCAGCTGCCTCCAGTTCAACCAATAAACTGTAGGACCTGCTCCTGATTGGAGGAGAGCAGCGTACTCGGCGTGTGGGTAGCAGAGTACGGACTGGTGGAGAGGACTATAAAGGAGGAGAGAGACGGCATGCACCAGGAACATCTAAGGGGAACACCTGTGCAGCCCCCGAGAGAGCCGGCCGGCGGTGTGCCGCTCCCCTGCGGAAGTGGGGAATGTGGCAGGGGGAACCGCCCTTCCACGGAGGTGGAAGGGACGGTAGCCAACCCGGGAAGGACCAGCAGCCAACCCGGGAAGGACCAGCAGCCAACCCGGGAAGAACCAGCAGCAAACCCGGGAAGGGCCGAGCAGACGAAAGAACAGCGCAGGGTCCTGTGTCGTTCCTCCACGAAGACGGGGAGCGACACTACTGAAAACAAAGAACAAACTATGCCATGTGTACATTTTCCAGCCATTCAAAACTAGTTAAGTTACTTTCAAGTTTCCTCTGTTGGAAATGGTGCATTCTTTTTCTCCTGGCATATTACTTCTGTTATTAATGTAGTTTATTTCCCAGAACATTTGCACTGAATTCCCAAGCATCTAAAATGGTTTTGCAAGATTGTTTTCATTGTGCATGGGTCCAATCTGGCATAATCTTAATTCTCAAGATTGAATTCCAAGGGGGTTACACTCCCTATATTTAACATAGTTCACAAGGTCCTCTTGAAAGATTTCAGAGGCAAGGTAGAGGACACTTTATGTTCCAGGGGAGAACATCTAGAGATAAGTGATGGGTGAGGCACAGATGACATTACTAGTCTGATGGTGCTTGAACCTCAAATCTCAGCTGGCTGGATGCTATTTCTCCTTCCTTTCCATGTGGAGGCCCCAACCAATCTTTTTCACTGAAGAAAATATCAGGGAAATTTCTGAGCTTTTAAATATCTACAGCTTATACATTTAAGTAGAGTGGTAAAGAAAAAAATTATAGGGTGTTTAGTGCAGAGGTTAAGATGTCCTTGGGATACCTGTGTCCATTATTAGGGTGCCTGGGTTTGAGTCCCAGCTGTACTCCCAATTCCAGCTTCCTGCTAATGTGCATGCTGGGAGGCAGTAGGGGATAACACAGGTGACAGGGTCCACACCAGCCATGTGGGAGATCCAGATTGAACTGCAGGTTCCGGGCTTCAAGCTTGCCCAGTCCTGGCTGCTGTAGGTATTTGGGGAGTAGACCAGTGGATAATAGATCTCTCCAGATCTATCTTTCTGACTTCAAATGAATAAAAAATAAAAAAGAAAAATATCATTTCATTTAAAAATGGTAGTGTTTATCATTCTTCCTGGTTCATTGTTCTCAAACTTTAAATGAGTGTAAGAATCAGTTAGTGAGAAACTAATTCAAAATGTAGTTTATAAGGTTTATTTCCAGAAATTCTGAGTGGAAACAGAGAAGGGCATGAGAATCTGTATTTTCCATAGCACCCTGGGTGATTCAGATCCAGGTGGTCCCTTGAAACATACTTTGAGAGATGCCCTTGGTTGTACAATATCTACACTTACTTGTGAGGACGGGCTGAAACTTCGGTCAGTCTTGATAGATGCTCCAGGATGACTGGTTCGCATCAGGCGAAGGATGGGTCTCTGATACTCTGCTCCTGCAGTTACCATACTGTAGGCTGGGGGGACCACCGTGGTTTGTTTCTGCAGTAACTGTAAGATGGTCTGGATGTCAGCTGTCATTTGGGATTCAAGTCTGCAGGATGGACAGAAATAGGGAAAGGCAATCCTGAAATTGTCAATGGTGATGAGAGTATCTGAGAAAATTTCAGCACTACCAATGAACACAATTCTGGCCCTGCTTTAAACAAGAAGGACAGGAGAGGGAGCACAGAGATTCTTTCCTGGCTGATGATCACTTTCTGGCTCACTGACTGATATAGAAAAACACTGCTTTCTGGCTCATGCATTAAGAATTAACAGAAAAACAGATGAATGGAATGAACTGTCTTTTTACTAACCTTTATTGACATCAAAATATAAATCACTCCAACAATCTATTTTTAATCAGTTATTGGGTTTTACTCATTTTCTTGTATTTTATTTACTATTCAAAAATTAGATTTGTAGCACATTTCCTTAATAGTTGCAACATTTCAGGATAATTTCTTATGTGTTTGAAATGTATATCAGTATTATTTTACCTTACTTCTTTTCTACTCATATCAAATATTGTATCTTATTACTTCTATTTTTCTTTAGGGTTCAAAGATGGTAAATGTTGAATTCCTTTCTAACTGGCATCGAGGGTCTTTGGTATTTAAGAAGCAAACCTTATTTAAAAGTTTTCTTGCTTCTATGACTCGTCTGGCTTGCAAAATGCCAATCTGACTTCCTAAATATTTCTGCACAGATTTATCCCATTATTAACAGCACTTAATGGTGAGTGGCTTACCCAATGTTACTTGGAATATAAGAGGATTTGGGCGTGGTGACTGAAATAAAAATGTCAGCAAGTCAGATTCAAGACCAAGTAAAGAGTCAAAAATTGTGTTTTTGAGGCATGTACATCTTTTGAGAAGCAGCAGCTGGCTCTGAGATATAGTCATTTTATCATGGATGCTATCTATTTGAATGATGTCTAGGGGAGAAAACTCTATTGGTAGGTGAGGCTGTAGCATCCACAGGCCCAGTCACTGCAACACGCTGAATGAGTGGGACTCTCGCACTCTGGAACAGCATGGGCATGTGAAGCTGCCGGTACAGGCTAAGCACAGAGATTCTAGGTATCAACATGACTTAGATAAGACTATTGACCATCTCTGTCAATGTGACTTGTTTGTTTTGGGAAAACACTACCTGGAAAAAAAATGGAACTGTCAATGAATAACTTCACTGCTTTAAGAAATTTCTACAAATCTACTCATTCGAGACAGCACTCAGCTCATCTGAAAAAATGTTTCTTAATCAGATTTTCCTGTTCAGGACTTAGTTCAAGATCTTCACCTCAGTGTATCCAGCAATTATGAAGTGTGGTGTCATGAACTTTGCCAAAGGGCGATCCCCTCCCCACCTGGAAAGGCCCAGACTCAAGTTCCAAAGCATCCTGCTTCTTGCTGCCCCTCCTGGAACTTCACCGAAATGCAGCACAATTCAAGGTCTTACCTTCTGCAGGGATTTTGAATGCTTAGTTTTGTTTGATATCTTGAGTCATTAACAAAAGGGAACTTTACTAGAAGTTACTGTACTCACATAGGATTTTGTTTTTCAGGTTTTAGGACTAGGGGCTAATGGCTTAATTAGAATGAACTCTTTTGCTGTGACTAAGTAATCTGTTTTCCTCCAGAGGAATTCCAAAAATTAAAACAAAACAAAACAAAACAGCTTGGCCTTTAAAAGAGAAAATGGCCTCATTTTAGAATTTTTTTTTGTCAGTATGAAACTGTGCAAATGGATATTTTCATTTGCTAATTCAAAGACCTACAATGCACCAATCATGCTCTTAGGTAAGAGGATGAAGTGCAGATGACGATCACTGAATGAGGAATCCTGTCTCACAGTACTGACAGGAGCTGACCACTTAGGAAGGAAACAGTGAAAGAAATCACTGATGCTAAGTGAAGCGAGCACTCAGTGTCATACCAGAGGCTTACAGAGAAATTGCTTTGAGTGTTCTGCAACAAAAAGAATCATTACTAGCAGTTTTATCATTTTCTGAGGCCTTCTTACCCAAAGTATGATCCTTAGAGCAGCAGCATTAGGCATCTCTGAGATTTTCTTAGAATGTAGAATCTGCATATTCCAGACCTACTGACTTAGTATCTGCATTTTTACAAGATCCCTAGCTGATCCAAAGACACCTCAAGGTTTGAGAAGTAGTGCTGTAGGGTCAAGTGTCAATGATTTATCTAAACATGTATGTCTGCAAGCATCATACAGGAAGACATAAGAACATTTCTTTTGTACATGCTTAACCCGATGTACAGTTTAATTGGCCTTCAGAGGAGGAAAAAAGTAGCAGGAAAAGCCATTCAAAATAGACTATTTGTGTTTACTTTTATTGCATTGTGTTCTTAATATGTGTCTTTGGATGAGAAAAATGGTGTAGGAACTGACAGCTCTACATTTGATCAAACACCAAAGTCAAACAGGATAGACTGTAAAGTGTTCCAGGCTCTCAATTGCTAAGCAGAAGTCTGTTAAGCCTCTCTTCAAACTTGTTTTCCTTCTAAAGGTGAAGGGGGGAAGAGGTTGTTGGAGGTGGCTGTACAGTAAAAAGAATGTAATATTTTGGACTTTAAATAGGCTAGGCTGAGTTAGGCTATAAAATGTTTGAGAATATTAGAGATAAGCAGACAAACAATAGTAAAAGGAGTTGTAATGGTGATAGCAACTCAAAACTTCTCCAGAAAGCACATGCAGATGCTGGAAATATACAGAAAGAGATTTCCATGCATTTTAGCTGTGGGAAAAGTCTTATAATATAACCATATACTAATATAATGAAATAATAATATCAATTATTATTGCTGATTGGAGGTTGTAAACCAAATAGTTTCCAGAAATATCTACCCTTTAAAGCTTTACACTTCTGGATTTGGGCATATGGAATACAAATTTTTTTGATAATCCTTAGTTTATCCTAGCAGTAGTGGTTAGTACCCATGAGAGGGCCACCATGGGATATTAAGAAAAATCTCAATTTTAGTCCTTAGCATATTCAAAGTAAGCAATTATGTTCAAATGAACAGGAATAATAGAAGTGAAGATCATTGTTAATTCAGTTTTACCCAGTTGCAAGTGAAACATTTTCCATTTTGTGTAGCAGATATGGTCTCCACATACATTATTTCAGTCCTGAAAACAACACTGCAGGTAGGTGTGAGCCACAGTAGGAAACTAAATCTCAGGTAGTTCATGATTTGACACAGTCATCCTGTAAGCAGTTATGTAGCCAAGTTAAGATTTTTGTCTAGGCAAAAAATTGCAGTTACAGGTTGTTGTCCTAAAGAAACCATTGCTGCCCTTGCATTTCATCTACCCATTCACACACTTTTCTTTTCTTTTTTTTTTTTTTTTTTTTTAATTTCACAGGTAGAGTTATAGACAGAGAAAGAGACAGAAAGGTCTTCCTTTCGTTGGTTCACTCCCCAAATGGCCGCCATGGCCAGAGGTGCACCGATCCGAAGCCAGGAGCCAGGAGCCTCCTCCTGGTCTCCCATGCGGGTGCAGGGCCCAAACACTTGGGCCATCCTCCACTGCCCTCCCGGGCTACAGCAGAGAGCTGGACTGGAAGAGGAGCAACTGGGACTAGAACTCGGTGCCCATATGGGATGCCAGCGCCGCAGGGGGAGGATTAACCAAGTGAGCCATGGTGCTTGCCCCCCATTCACACACTTTTCAATAACGGCTGCTGGTATAGGCAAAATGCTGAAAAAATATTAAGCATAGATAGTAAGTAAACCAGTAGTCTATGTCATCTAGGCAAAACTCCTAGATGTAAGTACAAATGCAAAAGAAAATAGCTTGTTAGTCATAGGAAGAATATATTAAATACAAATAGTTACTAGCCGGCGCCGTGGCTCACTAGGCTAATCCTCTGCCTTGCGGTGCCAGCACACTGGGTTCTAGTCCCGGTTGGGGCACCGGATTCTGTCCTGGTTGCCCTTCTTCCAGGCCAGCTCTCTGCTGTGGCCAGGGAGTGCAGTGGAGGATGGCCCAAGTGCTTGGGCCCTGCACCCCATGGGAGACCAGGAGAAGCACCTGGCTCCTGCCTTAGGATCAGCGTGGTGCGCCTGCCGCAGCGCGCTGGCGGCGGCCATTGGAGGGTGAACCAACGGCAAAAGGAAGACCTTTCTCTCTGTCTCTCTCTCTCACTGTCCACTCTGCCTGTCAAAACAAACAAACAAACAAACAAACAAAAAAAAACCAAAAAAACAAATAGTTAGTATGCTAGTTGAGTAAGAAATACCAAAGATAGCATAGAAAAATGATGTAACAAGTACGTGGTACGTGTGTTGGTTAAATCTAGAAAGAGATGGAACAAACTGTCATGTCTCTATGGGTAGACACATGTCACCCCCAAATAGGGGTTACTCCTTGGTCTCCTTCTGGTTCTACCTACAAAAAGCCAATAAAACTAATGGCTGTTGAGCAGGCTAATTGGAGAGCCACAGGTTTAGCCAGGTATACTAGGCCTGTATCTTTATAATAGAGCAGGTATGTGCCAGTGGCACAAGAGATTTTTCTTTTGTCAGTAGACTTCATGCAAACCTCACCTCTAGTCCTTCAATCACACTCTGGCCAGGGAACCTGAAGCAGCACATTCATGAATATTATATCAATTTGGATATTGGTAGTGTGGTTCCTTTACCAGGCTTACCTTTATTTGAAATGTGTTAATTACCCACATCTTGCTCCCCTCATCTTTCAATGTATGTTTTAAATTAATCTGATAAAATGGGGTCCAGGTAGTAGTGCATCCAGTTAAGCTGTGGCTTGTGACACAGACATCCCATATGGGTACCAGTTCAAGACTTAACCACTCCATTTCCTTCACAGTTCCCTGCTGACAGCCTGGGCAAGCAGCAGAAGATGGTCCAAGGACTTAGGCCCTTGTGCCCACTTGGGAGACCTGGGTGAAGCTTTGGCCTGGCTCAGCCATGGGTGTTGCAGCCATCTGGAGAGTATCCAGTAGATAGAAGATCTGTCTCTCCTTGTCTCTCTGTAACTCTGCCTTTCAAATAAATAGATCTTTTTATACAACTATCTGATAAATCTTGTGTTTTGAGCATTTTAATTTAGTCCATGTAGTTTCCTGTCTGTAACTACTGGGATACCTTGCCTGATGGTTTAATTGAAAGCTACCATTGGATCAAGATTCTTTCCCAAGTGAAACTCAGCTAAAGTAGCTATATAATACTCCTTCATTTTTTCTTTATCTTTTTGACCAATTTAATTTTGAAAAAAAAACTATACCATGTTTGGTGGAGGGGCCACTTTCTCCCTAGAACTGAAATGTGGTGCTCATAGTAAATGGTTGAGATGAAAAGTGAAGGGAAAAGGGAAAGGCTCTGGACTTTGATGGGATTTTTGGTTCACTCACAAGTTTGACAAGTTGCCTGAATAACTAAATGTTTAAATGACTTTGTCAATATTTTTAAAATGCCATAGCATATAGCTAAATTACCAGGAACAACCAAAAAGCAAAAAATGACAGAGGCCAGCGATGTGATACAGCAGGTTAAGCTGCCGCCTGTGATTCTAGCAATCCTTTTGAGCACCAGTTCACATTCACATACCGGCTGCTCCACCTAGAATGTAAGACCTTGCTAATGCATCTGAAAAAGCAGAAGAAGATGACCCAAGTGCATGCGCCCCTGCTACCCGTGTGGAAGACACAGATGGTGTTCCAGGTGCCTGGCTTCAGCCTGGCCCAATCCTGGTGGTTGCAGACATTTAAGAAATGGGCCAGCAGGTTCTCTCTCTGTAACTCTGCCTTAAAATAATAAATAAATAAATAAATAAATAAATCTTTTTTTTTTTTTGAAAAAGAAGATTAAAGCCGGGAGAGTATGAGTTAGCAAGTTACATATAAATTCATTTGATGGAAGGGTAGGGGGAGAATTTTCAAAGTAGCCAGTGCTGGTGGTATGCAAATTCTTTGATAAGTAAATATAGGGTTTTTGCTGCTAAAATTATCATGTGTTCCAAATAAATGCTCCTTGCAACACAAATTAGTGATTTGTCAACTTCTAGTCTTGTTTTAAATAATTAAATGCATACAAATGATATGGGATTTTGGCAAGAGGAATTTGCTATTTACAGGGAGTAAAGCTGGATACATCTAAGGGCTGGAGTTATGTCTCCTTTTGCCCTGCCACAGCTTATACCTGTTAAGCTGTTCTTGAAGCAAATCTAATCTTTGCTCCACTTCCCCATAGGTGAGGTCACTTTCGGTTTCAGAGATGCCCCAGGCAGCTCGTTGAAGTGCTGAGGGACTGGACTCTTCTGGCTGAGTCTGGGCATTTTCTTGTTCCCAGCTTCGCGTATCAGTGATATCTGTGGAAAATAGTGAGATGGATATCAACTTCCTTGCATTCCCCTTTTCAACAATAACACATAGATATCCACAGGCAATCTGAAAGGGATCTCAGAGAAACAGAACCAAAGTGTTCAGAGAAAGATCTGGGGTCTATGACCAGTTGGTGTGATAGAGTCCTGTTCTCACAGTCTTTCTTCCCACACCCATCTCCATAGTAATAAAAACATAGCAGGTTTGGATTCTTAATTGTAATTTTGTCTTATTTCTGTTTGTTTGTTCTAAGAGAAGATGTAGATGACCATACCAAAAGTAATTAGAGAGCAACGATTTTGTGCTTTTTGTACTTGGTAGGAAGCAGCACATTTTGTTTATGCTGCTTTATGTAGGATATGAGATTTTTGGAGCTCTTTTCCACAGGATAATTTGTGTTCTTCATGACTCAGGGTAGGTCCAAAGACAGAGTCATGAGTGAAGTGCTGATCTTCAGGGGGATTCTCTTCAAGGGGTGGGCCATGTCTGGCTGGCAGCCCATATAAAGCCTGCAAAATCATGTGGTTTGGCCATGCCCACTTCAGGGAGGAATGGAAATTCAGTAAATCCATAGCAGGATAATTTTTAAGTTGATAATTTTGTATGGTTCGTTAATGATATAAATATCCAAATGGCCCTTGGTAGAAAAAAATGTTCCCCACCCCTAAAGTATAAACCCAACTCAAAGTAGAGCCAATGAGCCATCAACCATCAAAGATAAGGAATGTATTAAGAGTTCTCTGGGCCAGCACCACGGCTTAATAGGCTAATCCTCCACCTAGCGGCGCCGGCACACGGGGTTCTAGTCCTGGTTGGGGCGCCGGATTCTGTCCCGGTTGCCCCTCTTCCAGGCCAGTATTACCGAAAGTGACTTATTTAGTTTGATAGAAAGACTTTCAGGAAATCTTGACAAGTAGCTATGATTAAACACTGAGAAAAGTCATCGTATAAAGTTATGGAATTTACATCCTCAGCTATTTTGAAAAATTGGATAGAAACTAACTAAATTGGGCAGGATTAGGCATGAGTCTAGAAATAAGGAACAAAACCATAGATGTTTTCAGAGTTCTTTCCTTTTCTATAGTCTCCTCCAAACTATAGTCAGGTAGGTCAAGTGCATCTTCTTTCTCTAAGGAGAAGACAAAAATGTCTGTAGTCTTCATGATTTTCCTCATACTACCTTTTGTCATTGCATCCATAGAACTTTCCCTAATCTGTTGCCTATAATTTTTGTCTCAGTATGGTGAATTGAGGAATCAGCATGGTGTAAAAGAGGAATCAGTACGTTCAAAAAGAGCATTGGGAAAATATAAGTCAGGATACCTTCTTCTGTGAAAATGGCTCAAAGACTTCTCACAGAATGCTTGTTATGGATTACAGAGATGCTCTTCCTGATTCCTTACCCTATGGGATCCTGGCGTTTTGTTTCATTAGAATATCATTCCTTTTGATATTTTACCAAACATGATGATATGATATGTGAATGAACATAGAAAAATGAAATTGCTGAAGATTTAAGTAATTTCTCTGCAGTTTTTCACTGCAAAGTATGATTTATTATTCACAGATATCTGAACCTCTTTAAAATGCAAAACAATAATATAAAATCTCAGTAGACTAGGTTATCTAACATAGGCCAGCAAGTCAAGCAAGCATTTGGAACATGCATGAGCTTGACCAGTGCTTGACATAGTCTAATGTAGCCAGTTAATGTGTGACTTTTTTTTTAGCAAAGATAGCAAGAACAGATAGGATTCAAGTTATATATCTTGCTCATGAATTTTTTTCAAGAAAGCTTACAGAATTTCTGCTTATGCTCAATAGCTTTTTCATTTTCAATTTACATATATTAAATTGATTTTTAAATGACAATGATGAATCATATGCAATAAATAGCAGAGGATTATAATTTTTGTTCAGTGCTCAAAAATGATTATCTTAGCAGAAATGAATAAAATGCATACTGTTAGAAGCTTCCTTGATTGTAATTTACACTTTTATGAAAACCTGGGGTTATATGATTAGCTTGTTTTAACAGCAATATAAAAGTGAGTAGTTCAAAGGGGAAATCCTGGTTAGTGGTCTTAATCAAATGAACATCCTTGTAGACATTTTCTAAATATAGCTCAGAAAGAATCTGCACTTGGTTGCCTTGGAAAATGTTGCTATAGTTGCAAGATACATTTCTGGAACTGAATGAACAGAAAGTAAACTTTCCCTTTCTCTGGTTACACAATTTTCCAAGAGTCAACTTTTGACCTCAATCTATGTAGGATCAGAATTCATTTAATTTACTATTTTATTTTTAATTTCACATAAATGCATTCTTTTATTGGATTCAGAATTAGAAATGCCAAGAATATGAGTGGATAAAATTTCTTGTTGATGCTGAACAAAAATCTGTGCCAGGAATTACTATTTCAAACTGCAGTAGTGAAAGTCACACTAACTATATAACAAGTTTTACAAGTTCTTAAACATTAAACAGTAACTCACTAAGCAGATTAATCATGTATTGCACTGATTGATAGCATATGATATCAATTATGTTTATTCAATTGGCATACATACTTAGCACTGCATTCTCAAGATAATTATTTGAACAGGGGTTGCATAATAACTTTGAAAATTAATTTTTGTGTTGCATGGATGCAGTGGGTTAAGTCTCCACTTGAAATTTCCACATCTAATATCAAAGTGTTTCAGATTGAGTCTTGCTTCTGGTTCTGCGCCATCTTCTAGTTAATGTGCACCCTGGGAGGCAGCAGAAGATGGTTCATGTGTTTGAGTCCCTGACACCTACATGGTAGATTTAGATGCATTTCCAGTCTCCTAGTTCCAACCTGGCCCAGTTTTGGCTGTTGTGGGCATTTGGGAGAGTGAAAATAAAATAATTATTTGTTAGAATATTTTCACTGTACATATAGAATAGCTAATTAAAATAATTGTAAGAAGGAGAGATGAAAAATATTAGATGAAGGGCCTGAGAATTCACGGTCAGTGAGAATCATAAAGCAAAACAAAATCCCCCAAGTATGTCTATAATGACATGTCACTTTAGACTTTAAAAGTGAAGAGGAAAACAACCAAAAGTATTTGGTTAGAAGCTCTGCCTTATGCTGAATTTTGGAAATGGCAGAGATGGTTCAGCAAGCATGTAAGAACTTTTGACTTCCATGATACAACCTGTTTCTATTTTTAGCACTTCTCAGAATTCATTTTCATAAATAACTAAAATGGGACATTTGATAATCACATGTAATATTCCATTCTTCCATTGTGACAAATGAGGTGCTATTTTCATTCACTTCATCAAGATTTTAGATTGTCCAAAGAACATTTGCATATATTCATAGCTTACTCCCATATGGGCTCATGGCCAAATGAGCCAAACTTATTCCCACAGAGAAAGTAACTAGAAAAACCAATATCCTCAACATCCTAGATTCACTGTTGTCATCTATGATGTTTTGGAATAATATTAATGATATTAGGTGATATTTACTTACTTTACTGGTATTTTGCTATCATGCCTGGCCAAAAACATGTTATTTTTCCTTATTTTTTAATTAACTTTTTTATGTTTTGCTGTACTTTTTTAACATTTACATTTTTATATATGCAGAGACATGAGGGATCTTCAAAAAGTTCATAGAAAACATATATTTAGGGGCTGGTGTTGTGGCACCATGGGTTAAGCTGTTGTGTGCAATGCTTGCATTCCATATGGGGGCTGATTTGAGTCTCCACTGCTCTACTTTTGGTGCGCTCCCAGCGAATGCACCCTGAATGTCAGTGGAGGATGACTCAATTGTTTGGACTGCTGCCCCACATGTGGGAGGCCTGGATGAAGTTCCAGGCTCCTGACTTCAGCCTGGCTGAGCTCTGGCCTTTGTGATCATTTGGGGAGTGAACCAGTGGGTAGAAAATGTCTCTCCATCTCTGCAGCTCTTCTTTCTAAACAAACTAAATCTTTTTTGAATAAGAAAATATATATTGTGAAAAACCAATGCACAAATTTAAAAACTTTGTATCAAAATATACTATACTTTAATCCCATTTTCCATAAACTTTAGGAAGTACTGTTGTATATTAAATGCTTAAAGGGGGCTGGCGCCGCGGCTCACTAGGCTAATCCTCCGCCTAGCGGCGCCGGCACACCGGGTTCTAGTCCCGGTTGGGGCGCCGGATTCTGTCCCGGTTGCCCCTCTTCCAGGCCAGCTCTCTGCTGTGGCCAGGGAGTGCAGTGGAGGATGGCCCAAGTGCTTGGGCCCTGCACCCCATGGGAGACCAGGAAAAGCACCTGGCTCCTGGCTCCTGCCATCGGATCAGCGCGGTGCGCCGGCCGCAGCGCGCTGGCCGCGGCGGCCATTGGAGGGTGAACCAACGGCAAAGGAAGACCTTTCTCTCTGTCTCTCTCTCTCACTGTCCACTCTGCCTGTCAAAAAATAAAAAAAAAATGCTTAAAGGGTTGGAAAATAAAACTGTGTAAAAACAGTAAACAGAGTTGAGGACTGCATTTCAGAGAAAGTAATTACATAATACTTTAACAATCACAATCAAGTAGTTGGTTAGAGAATAATATTCTTAATTTAAATGTGGACAAATTCAGTCTTAGTGAGGTTGGTCAGGTCATTTATCTGAAATACTAAAGGGATTAAATAACAAAGTTGATTTTGGAACTCAAGAAATCTGACCCATATCTGTTAGTACCACTTCATGGTAGATATGGTTAGATGTGTATATCCATTTCCTGTTATACTAAATTAATTGTTCTTTCATATAATAGTTCTTCAAATTTCCTTGTGCTTTTCATCTTTTAATAGAAAATCTGCATCTATCTATATATTTAAAATAAATATGTACGCACATTTTAAAAACCTATTTGAAGGGCAGCATTGACACAGAGAAGGTGAGAGACACACAGAGATCTACCTACTGGCTCACTCCCCAAATGCCCACAACAACCAGGGCTGGGATGGGCTGAAGCCAGGAGTCAGAAACTTCATTTGGGTCTCCATTTAGGCTGTAGGGACTGCATTACTTGAAACCTCATCTCTTGCTTTCCCAGGCACATTAGTGGGAAACTGGATCAGAAGTGGACCAGCCTTGGGGCTGGTGCCGTGGCTCACTTGGTTAATCCTCTGCCTGCAGCACTGGCATCCCATATGGGCGCCGGGTTCTAGTCCCAGTTGCTCCTTTTCCAGTCCAGCTCTCTGCTGTGGCCTAGGAGGGCAGTGGAGGATGGCCAAAGTGCTTGGGCCCCTGCATCAGCATGGGAGACCAGGAAGAAGCATGTGGCTTCGGATCAGTGAAACTCCTTCTGTATCGGCCATTTGTGGGGGTAAACCAACGGAAGGAAGACCTTTCTCTCAGTCTCTCTCTCTCACTGTCTATAACTCTACCTGTTAGCTGTTATACATAAATGAAAAAAAAAAAAAAAAAAAAAAGAAGTGGACCAGCCAGTGCTCCAAGCAGCACTATGATATGGGATGCTGATGTTGCAAGCGGTGGCTAAACCTGCTGTACACAACGCCAGCCCCTAAATCTGTCTATACGAATCAAGCATTATTATCCTTTCATGTATACTTTCTTCAACAAAGTCTATACATTGCATGCACTTTTCATACTATAAAACTAAACATTTGAGAGTGAGCAATAGGTACAAAAGATGCTCACAAGGAACGCAGTAGTGAGCTTTACAATATTCATTGACTCTCCTCTTTGGAATCCATTACTGCAGTAGACTTTCCCACAATTTCCAATCAGGCGCTAGGGTAAGTATGGTTGGTTCATCACAAAAATCTTTCCTGCTACCATTGGGAATAATTACTACTTGTTTCAGAATCATGCAAACACTTCCTAGATAATCTTAAATCTGAACTCTTTGTAAGCATTTCATGAAATTGACACAGATGACATTAACACATGCTGGTACAGTTCTTAATTTATAAGAAGCCACTATTTAAAAATTAACACTGAAGAGAGACAACCTGATTCCTGATTCTTGATTACCTTTGCAAGAGTGACTTTTTCTTTCTATGTGAATTCTTCCTGAAGTGGGCACTGTTTCCTCAAAAGTGAGCCCAGTTGCTTTCCCCATCCCCGGAGAGGAATCTAAGATTCCTGAGAAGAGTGGTTTTTGTTCATCATCAATGGAGGAGATGAAAGATGACGACCGGCTTTTCTTCTCTTCAAAGTGTTTCTTCGAACTCTGATAATGTCTTATGGTATCCTCAGAGTCTTCAGGATCATTTGTACTGTTTTCTTTGCCAAAATCTATCAGAGAGAAGTTATTTTTACAGCAGAAAATCAAATGTGAGACTATGTATGTTATACTACTTAGCTATAAGCAAACTATTTTTTTTCTATTGAAAATGTAGCTATGTGAAGACTTAAATTTTTATATAAGGTTATTCTATTAAGCTAATGACATGCTATTCATTTCAAAATAAAATTATTTGCAATAATGTTTACATATAGGAAAAAATCAATAGGGCAACTTACAAACACATTTATACATATTTAGCAGTCTTTTGTATCCTTAGATATTGGTGTGCAATCTCTTTAGGAAAATGAATAGACAAGGGATAATGTGTCCCAATTCTAAAATATCACCTCTATGCAGCTTGCTTGTTTTTAATCTCCACACTCTATCATCAGAGACAGTCATTCACCCATTGCAAATGTCAAGAATGGGAAGTCTCCTTGTAGCAAAGGTAGCAAAGACTGAATTTCAACTTTAGTTCAATATATGTAACAGCCTTGGCAATCCAGGCAGCTTGGTTGTGTAGCATATTGCAAAGAGTATAAAGCCCAAATACAGTAATTAAGGTAGGTTTTTGCCTAATTACATTAAAGCTGTTGCATATATTGGCTGTTTCACACTGAAATGTCAGGATAATTTCAGCTCTGAAGGTTGTGTTAGAGCATATTTCAGAGAGAAAAACTTAGAGACAAATTTCTGAACTTGTCTCTATTAGTGTCCTGGGGAGACAGTATAATTCTCCATCTGGTTCCTACTAATAACTAACCAACAAAACCCCAGAAGGTTTATCATTTTCTGCAAAGAGGGCTGAGACAATGTCCCTATCTACTCTATGCCTGCTTGTGCTTACTTTGTTATTTATAGAAGGCCAAATAAACTGATTTAAGGCCATTTCAGAGAAACTTCTAACTTTTTTAAAATTCCCATATGGCATAGGAATGAAACAAAGATAGTTTCCTTTCGTTTCTTAAAGTCATAATTTAAAATACAAGAAGCCAGAAAGCAGTCCAGGGTAAAAGTTTAAAAATCAACTTCAGGAGCAGGTGGCATGCTTAGTGGCTAGGACACCAGTTAAGATGCCCATGTGCAACCTGGATGTGCTGACAGCTTCCAATTGTAGTTTCTTGCTTGTACAGACTCTGGGAGGAGGCTGTGATGGCTCAGTGATTGGGTTATTGCCACCACACGTAGACATGCATCATGTTTTTGACTACTGGCTTTAGCCTGACCCAGTCCTGGCTGTTTGAGGGCATGTGGGGTGTGAGTCAGGAGACGGATGCTGTCTCTCAGCCTCTCAAATAAGTAGTCAAATTAAAAAATCAGGTTCATGAGAAATTATTATTTAGGAGTTTATGTTCTGTCAGTTAAAGTCAAATCTCTCAGAAAGAGATTGCTCAAATTAAGTTTTCATACTGATTCAGCAACTTCATCATTGCCAAGACCAAAGACCTTTCCAATATCAAGGATCATTGATTACTCAGTGTTCATTGCATGTTCCTATTCAGTAACCTAATTGATTATAAATTCTCAGAGTAACTCTTCCTACACAAACCCATTTCTCTCAGTATCGTTGCCAGAGTTCCCTCGAATCTGTGAACTTTATTCTTGTCATCTCCCTCCCTGTTTTCTTTCACTTCTCCTTCTCCAAAGCCCTCTGAAAATTTGATCAATATTCTCTACTTTTTGAACACATCACTTCATCTCTTAAAAATTATTAATTTTATGCTAACAAATATGAAAAAAGAAGGTTCTATTTTTCTAAATTATTTTAATATCTGCTTAGTGAATTATACTGGTTTGCTGCTCCTAAGTAAACCCTGGGGTCTTTGGGCACTAGTGGGATTTGAATCAGCTCAGTCTCATCTTCTTGAAAATGCTTTTCTGTTAAACACATTCATGGGCTATTTCTAGGAGAGTTGGATGTAAACTGAATTAACCATTAAATCATATGTCTCCAACATAAATGTGGATAATGTTAATGTGGACATTTGTAATTAATTTATTTCACAAATGAATGAAGCATTTTGTCTCTTTGGCTTAAGAAGCATTAGAGAGTTTTTGTAGATTTTAAATCAGAATGGTAGAATGTTCTGTCCCACCAATTATGAGGGCCCCAGTCTTAATTTACTTTCTCATGGCTTGATTTTGGATTCTAAGGAACAAGATTAATCCAATGTTAGCATATGTTTTTAAGTTGAATTGTAGCTTCCTGATTTTTAACTCAGAACAAATATTCTCAAAATTTTTAAAAGAGGAATAGCTGTTATTTAGTTCCAGAGTATAATAAAACAAATAACTAATTATGAATGTGCCTCAGAAGCTTCATGGAAAATGGAATTAAAAGATAAACTTCTTTGGGTGTAAACAATTTTGAAATCCATTCACAAGTCTTTCACAATATGCATTCTCCATGAGCTTTCTGATGACACTTTCATACTCAGAATGCAAACCTTTTAACAAAAATTCCAGGTCAAAGCAAAATCATGAAAGAAGAAAAAGTTTAACTTTGAATTTTCCAATTATTAAGGAAGCAAAATTCACATTTATTCTGTGTTCACATTGCTGCTGAATACCCAAACCGTATGAGCATTTTCTCTGAGGTAGCCCTACTGAACAACATTTTTCTATTTCTTACAAAATAAATTAAAGCTTTATTTTTGTTACATAATTAAAGTTGTAATGACAATCTATTTGTGAATTAAAAATGGAAACCGCTTAGGCTTAGGCTGGATGTTGGCAGATACAATACATGAACTTGGATAGCTGAAACACATTATAATTAACCCCCAGGTACTTATAAATTTTGATGGAATATTCCATTGCTGCCTTTTTCTAGTTAAGCTGAATTATTTGATAGCCATTAGGTAGTATCAAGTACTGTCTTTCAATCTTAATGTCATTATACTCTGTAGAAATCATAGCATGAGGACTGTCACTAAGGATATTTTATATTTTTATCTTCAATAGAATTGGCATTGTGCAATCATTCCTGTACTGTCATTTTACAAAGAAATATTTTTGATTGTTTAATCAAGCCTCTAATTTGCTTTCTATTCAGATGACTGAAAATTCTTTTTTATCTTCTCGCCTTGTTTCTATAGGCTGGAAGTTCATCTCTTTCGCTTTCACACAGGACAGAAATCTAAAGCATTTCTTATTTGTCTTTCAGACCTCTCACTGCATTCAGAATGAATTCAAGAGCACAGAATAAAAGTGTCTCAATGGAGTGGCTGGCCCATCCATCTTAGTCATGATAACCTAAAATCATTCCAAGTCAAATAATCTGTCAACAGACATTTTTGCTTGCTCCATCTTTTATGGAGTCTTCCTTTTAGATTAATGACTATTTTCATTTGTCAGACCCAAAAGGGAGACATAACCTTTAGTCAAAGAGGGGCTTTTATATAATGGGCTCTTTCAGGATTTGAGTTTTTTTTTTTTTTTTTTTTTTTTTTTTTTTTTTTTTTGACAGGCTGAGTGGACAGTGAGAGAGAGAGACAGAGAGAAAGGTCTTCCTTTTGCCGTTGGTTCACCCCCCCAAATGGCTGCCACGGCCAGCGCACCACGCTGATCCCAAGGCAGGAGCCAGGTGCTTCTCCTGGTCTCCCATGGGGTGCAGGGCCCAAGGACTTGGGCCATCCTCCGCTGCACTCCCGGGCCACAGCAGAGAGCTGGCCTGGAAGAGGGGCAACCGGGACAGAATCCGGTGCCCCGACCGGGACTAGAACCCGGTGTGCCGGCGCCGCAAGGCGGAGGATTAGCCTAGTGAACTGCAGCGACAGCCTAGGATTTGAGTTTTACATCCCCTACTGGTGACAATTTTGAGGTAAGCTAAGCAGTTTCTAGCCAGATGCTTTAAAATTTTTTCATAGTTGGAGTCTGACATAAATTTCTTCATTTGAGATCAAGTACCTTATGCTCTCAATCATTTCAGGGCTTGTTGGAAGGGGACAAAGCCATCATTCTTCAATACAAATGAAAGCTAAAACAATTTTAAAAAATAAAATAAAAAAAGATGCATTTAGAGAAATGTTGGCTAAAGGGTACAGTGTTTCAGTTAGGATGAATAAGAACTGGAGATCGGTTGTTCAGTATAGTGACTGCAGCTAATGCTTGAAAATTGCCAAGGGAGCATATCTTAAGTGGTCTCTCTCTGCACACATGCACAGACACACACATACACAGAAAAGATAGCTATGTGAGATGAGGTCATAGAAATATTAACCAGATTGGTTGTGATAATTATTTCACATGTATGCATATATCAAAGCATTACATTATATGCCATAACTACACACAACTATTTGTTAGCTACATCTCAATAGAATTGTAAAAAAAAAAAAAGAAATGCATTTATGTATAATCAAAATGAATAACAAAAAGGTAATCATTAATTGTTTCTGGGAAAAACAATCCAAAGAGATGTTAAAATATAACATCAGTGTAATTAAAGGATGAATTTAATGAAATTAGACATAGGCTTCCTACAATCAAAAAAAAGTTACTAGTGGCCGGCACAGCAGCTCACTAGGCTAATCTTCCGCCTGAGGCACCGGCATCCTGGGTTCTAGTCCTGGTTGGGGTGCCAGATTCTGTCCTGGTTGCTCCTCTTCCAGTCCAGCTCTCTGCTGTGGCCCAGGAGGGCAGTGGAGGACGGCCCAAGTGCTTGGGACCTGCACCCGCATGGGAGACCAGGAGGAGGCTCCTGGCTTCTGGCTTCGGATCAGTGCAGCACACTGGCCATAGTGGCCATTTGGGGAGTGAACCAACGGAAGGAAGACCTTTCTCTCTCTCACTGTCTAACTCTGCCTGTCAAAAAAAAAGTTACTAGTATATTTGTTTAAACTTATTTTTCAATTACTTTCAAAAAATTATTTCATTTTGAACTATCACTTTCAAAACTTACTAGCTTTTGGATAACACTATGAAATCAATAAACACATTTATTTACAAAAAAGATTTTTTTTGTTATCCTTTGAAATGCAAAGTGTAATGAGTTCAAGATATTTCT